GCTGCCAACATGTTCAAAATGGCCAAGAACTGGAGTGGTGCGTCCCAAATCCCCAAAAATCTGCCCAAGAATTCCCCAAATCCTGCCAAACCTCCCCAAATCCCCCTCTGGAGCAGAAACCCCACGAATTCGTCCCTAAATCCACCCAAAATCCCCCCAAATCTCCCTCTGGAGTGGCATTTCCAGGAATTCATCCCCAAAATTCCCCCCAAATCCCCCTCTGGAGTGGCAATTCTGGGAATCCCAGCCCCAAATCCCCCCAAATTCCCCCAAATCCCCCTCTGGAGGGGGAATCCTGCTGATCCCAGCCCTAAATCCCCCCAAATTCCTCAAAATTCCCCTCTGGAGTGGAAATTCCAGGAATTCCATCCTCATTTTCCCCTCTGGAGTGGGAATTCCAGGAATCCCAGCCCAAATCCCCCTCTGGAATGGGAATCCCAGGAATCCCATACCCATTTTCCCCTCTGGAATGGCAATTCCACCAATCCCAGCCCCCTTTTTCCCCAAATCCCCCTCTGGAGAGGGAGTCCCACTGATCCCAGCCCCAAATTCCCCTCTGTAATGGGAATTCATCCTCAAATCCCTCTTTGGAATGGGAATCCCAGTGATCCCAGCCATAAATCGCCCTCTGGAATGGCAATTCCAGGAATTGCAGCCCCAAATCCTCCCAAAACCCCCCCAAATCCCTCTCTGAAATGGCAATCCCACCAATCCCATCAATCCCGTCCCCATTTTCCCCTCTGGAATGGCAATCCCACCAATCCCATCCCCATTTTCCCCTCTGGAATGGCAATCCCAGGAATCCCATCCCCATTTTCCCCTCTGGAGTGGCAATTCCCAGAATCCCATCCCCATTTTTCCCCATTTTCCCCTCTGGAATGGGAATCCCAGGAATTCCACCCCCATTTTCCCCCTCTGGAATGGGAATTTCAGCCCCATTTCCCCCATTTTCCCCTCTGCAATGGCAATTCCCAGAATCCCATCCCCATTTTCCCCTCTGGAATGGGAATCCCACCAATCCCAGCCCCATTTTCCCCTCTGGAATGGCAATTCCAGGAATTCCACCCCCGTTTCCCCTCTGGAATGGCAATTCCAGGAATTCCACCCCCGTTTCCCCTCTGGAAT